TATTCTGTATATTGAATTGTTCTGCTAAGTACAAGGAGTTTCTCCTTTATTTATAGGAGAGGATAAAGACCAAAACACAAAAGGAATTCTATTCCTACAAGGAAACAAATCACTAAATATGAACAAGGAAACAAATCAAGAGCAATCCCACTTAGAATGGGATTTGCTCTCCTTCTTGCCGTGTGGTCCAAGGAGCACCGCCCAACAGAGAGTACAACGGGGACTCGAATGGAGAATTCATTGGAGAAAGAAGGAAAAAGAACAAAGGAGGAGGAATGCATTGAATGCAGTCACTGCATTCATTTAAGTAGAGAAAGTGTGCTATTTTTGGAGGGATGTCCCTGGAGGGAATTTTGAAATTCTCCAAAAATAGCCAAATATTTTAAAAACATGTTTTGGTGTGTATTTGAATGGATTTTGTGGCTGGTGTTGTGTGGCTGTGTTGTACTTTTGCCTAACCCCCATCATTACCCTCGTGTGTGTTGGGAGGGAATGGGTTTGTTTACACTATTTGCTTTTGTACTTTTGATGGGCAAGTACATTCTACATTAAATGCAATTTACTTTACACTATTTTCTTCTCTTTATTAGATTAGGGTTGGGGGGTAAATTTGTCAAGTCAATGACAAAAATTTGGCCCCTTAAATTGGTTGAAAGTCAAAACAGGAAAAGGAAAAAGGGACGGAGGGAGTAGTTTTTTACTTCTTTTTAGAGAGTTGTCCCATATACTTCCTACCTTCCTTAAAGCCCTTCTCATTTTGACTTTTAGGAAAATTAAGGGTGAGATATTTTTTTATTTCCTTTCCAAAACTACTTTTGATATGATGACTAAAAGTAGAATGTGACAAATAGATTATTAGTTAAAAGAAATGATGTGATAGGTAGGATAACATTAGTAGGGGTAAAAGTATTTTTTAATAGAAAGGAAAAAAACTTTGTGTGACAAAGAATAAAGAAAGGAGAAAGAATTTCTGATTTCTGAGACGGAATGAGTACACACACAATTATATACATATACATAGATACATACATACACACACACACACACACACACACATATATAGAGGCTGGTTCCTATGAGAATGCACCTTGTGGAGAGAAATGAGAATGAAATCTAGCCGTTAGATTTGATGCATCGTGCGGCTCAGATTGCATCTTGCGCTCAGGTTTTGAGATAGTGCATTTTCAAAGGATTATGATGCATTTCGTCGTGATGCATTTTCAAACCATTTTTATGCATCTAATTTTGATGCAATCCTGACCCTTAGATCACACAATCTAAAACACCAGATTCATTCTCATTTCTCTCCTAAGATCGCATTCTCACTAGAACCAATATATATATATATATATATATATATATATATATATATATATATATATATATATATATATATATATATATACTCCCTCCGTCCCATAAAGTGTTACCCATTTTGACTAAAGTAGAAATTAAGGGAGAGATAATTTTGTGTTGACTTTCCAAAAATACCCTTGATGTGATGGGTAAAAGTAGGATGTGATGTGTAGATTATTAGGAAAAAGGTATGATGTGATAGGTAGGGTTTGAAAAAGTAAGGGGTAAAAGTGGTTTTTTAATAGAAATGGGTAGGAGATTGTGAGACACAATTTTTTTGAAAGGTGTAAATCTTTTTGGGACGGAGGGAGTATATGATATGCATTAACTAATTAAATGAAAAGGCATGCATGTTGTACGTATTCATTCAGCTCCATGCATGCAATGTTTTTCAGGCATTGAAGTATAATTAATTGATTGAGTTTGTTTGCAAAAATGATTAGAAATTAGAGAATTAATTGGTGGTTGAATTAAATATGTGTACGTACATACGTATCATGCATGCATGTTACGTACTGAGCCTAGGGGCTGTGCCTCTTTTTTTTCTCTTCCCTCTTATCAAGAAATAGTAATGGATCTGCCGGCCGGGCCGGGCCGGGCCTTGCTAGCTGTCGTCGATGATGATCGATATATATGGCGTGCTATAGATCGAAGTAGCGGATTAATTCTACATACTAATTCATGACCATGCCCAACAACGTAACTAAATAGTCTTTCTAGGGATTTTTTTCTAAAAAAAAAATGAACAAGTTATATAGATAAGTAAATATATAAGGCTTGATAATATTGTCTTGGCCGGCTTTGATAATATTTTGATTTGGTCATGGCTTGATAATATTGTTAATTATATTGTAATTGTCTCTTTATATATTTTTATTTTTAACACATTTTATCGTCCGCTCTCAGCTTCTAAAGTATTCGAGATGGCTACCATGGATAGTGTCATGAATTGATGGGTACTAGGGTGCTGAGGATTCATGGGGCCAGGGTTGGGCCAAGGGTGTTAAATTAAAATGTAATGTTGATAAATAAATTTTTTCTAAGATTTATTTATTTAAATATATATTACATCCGTCCGGAGTATTTGTCCATTTTTTATTTGTTGCAGCCAACAGTTTTCAACTTTTTGCCAATAATTAAATAAAATTAGATAAAATAATATTTTGAAAATATTTTATAAAACAAATATAATAGAACTATTTTTGTATCGATCAATATCTAATACGGAGTATCATTTTTATTTAATTTGAGGTCAAATTTACCATTTTTATTTGACCAAAGAAATAAAAAATGAACAAATATTAAGAGAGGGTAGTATGGTCATTGTGTGTAGGAGTATTTTTTTTTGGGAGGAAGGAAGTTTAGTACATCTCTGTCTTTAAATAAACGTCTATGTTTACGGAAGCATATGAAAAGTGTTAAAAATCAAAAAAGAGGGGTTATAAATTTGAGTGGAGGGGGAAATTTTTTTGGGCACATAATTATGATCCATCCATTTAAGGAAAGTAAAAATTACCATCTCTATTCTAGAGTGTTTGTTGTTTTAAAAATTTATACTTAAAATTGACAAATTTTGACCATAAATTAAATAAATTTATATTAGATATTGATAGAAAAATAAATTTATTATATTTATCTTATAAAATATTTTCAAAATATTTTTTTATCTAATTAATATACCATATAATTTTAATTTAATTATTGGTCAAAACTTAATTTTGATTGATAACAAAAAAATCAATAGTGGACCAACAGACTATTTTTAAACGTTCAAAAATATGGAGTATAAGTTAAAGAGGAAAGTTATTTAAATACATATGGTACTATTTAATAGGAGTATATTACTCCCTCCGTCCCTAAATATTCACAACATTTGCTTTTTCAGCAGTCACGAGAACTTTTGTTTATTTCGACGTTTTCATTGGTTATTTGATAAAATAAAATATTTTTGACACCTCTTATTTCGAAGAACTTTTCATGTAGTTTTTTGATATGTAAGTTTTATTTTTTATTTTTATACCAATGTGTAAATAAAATGAATTAAAAAACTTGATATTTTACCTCAGGAATACAAATTAAATGTAGCAAATAATTTGGGATGGAGGGAGTAAAAAAAAAATACAATAAAGAAGGTGGCCGGTGGGTGCGTCTTCCCGATGAAAGAAAAGAGAAGAAACTTGGTGTATGCTTTGCATGGGATGACCTAATCGACCATTATCATCTTAACCTTTTTTCCCAAACAACACTTTCTCACTTTTCTTCCTCTTTTCCCATTCATGGTAACTCTCCCCCTCTCCCTCCAAACTTGTCACTGTTACGCGGATTCTGAGAATTGAACAACCTATAATATATACTCCCCCCGTCCCAGAAAACATGGAAGTTTTGATTTTGAAAAGGGATTTAAGGAGAGGGTATTTTAGTACTGAATTTCCAAAAATATCATTTGATGTGATGGGTAAAAGTATGATTTGATGGATAGATTATTAGTAAAAAGGTATGATGTGATAGGTAAGGTATGAAAAAGTAAGGGGTAAAAGTGACTTTTTAATAGAAATGAGAAATGTTTTCAGGGACGGAGGGAGTGTGTGTGTCTATATATATATATATATATATATATATATATATATATATATATATATATATATATATATATATATATATATATATATGT